ATTCACAGGTCATTTTTGGCCTTCAGAAGAATCGATATAACTTCGTCGTAAGATGGGATAGAGAGCTCGGGTTGGTGTCAAATTAAAGCCAATGCGAGTATGCAACTTTTGTCCGAACAGAATTTTGAAATTCCATCTCATTCATTTTTTATGAGCATTTTAGTGGGATGGTCTTAAAATTAGCATAAAAAATGGTGGCCCAACGACAGTAAATTCTACTTTTCTCAGTCCAGGAATCAACTATAAAAAATCCGTTCGGACAAAAATTTACTCTCATTAAGATCTTTAAAACAAAAAAAAATTATTGGTTATAGCTTGAGGCAGACGGAGTTATTTCAATTTCTCTGTCTGGAAATCGTATTTTGAGAAAAACGCTAAAGAAATTTTAGAACTGGATTTTTTCATTCAAATTCAGAAAAAATCATATTACAATGGTATATTATTAATTCATTCCAGTGGATCGTTTTAGAGTACGTAAGAGATAAAGGTAACTAACACCATCTGACATGCTGGGTAATATAAAAGTGTTCTACTCAATGCTAATGCAAGTGACAACGCAGTTTTTTCAAAACTGAAACACCTGAAAATTTCTCCGAAAATATGGTAGTAGAGTCAAAGTTTTATATGATAAGTCTTTGAAAATCTGGTCATTTTCCAAAAAGCTATATATATTCTGAAAGAGGAAGCTTCGCCGCATCTTTCTGTGATAAAAACTCAACTTCGATATTCCCTTGAAAAATTCGATTTTCTAAGGGGGGGGGGGGGCTTAAGCCATCCTTGTAATGAACACTACTTGAGACCAATAGGATTCTATACACAGAGGAGAAAACTTTTGGGTAGTGGCATGTTAGAAAAACCAGACAATCAATTAGGTAAAAGATCAATTTTTTAGCATCACTGTAAATATCAGAATAAAGTTTGATTTTTCGTACAAGAAAATTTTCAATACCCAGGAGAATCATTCCAACAATCGGATTCCTATCGGATTCGATCGGATTTTATTGGAATTTCTATAAATCCGACGAAATCCTATAGGAATCCGGGAGACGATCCTACTAACGGAACCTTAGTGTCTAGACATTATAGGATCCTACTATCGGATTCCGATAGGAATTCATCGTATAAATATGACTGGTCTCTAGTATTGGGTTAAAATGCTAATTAGCACGTAATTAAGAAAATAGGTTTCGCTCGTCAGATCCGTTAGTCGATCCGTTTCCCGGAATCCCATAGGATTTTGTCGGATAGTCAGATCCGATTGGATCCGGTATCGGATTCATTCACCTGGGTATGAGTATATGAAAACATGATTGACTACACGATTGGAGAGTTTTACAATGGGTAAATTGGATTGAGAATTTTATTTATCGAATATTTAAACTAGAAAGTCGATTTTGAAGATGAGCACAACATTTTTAATGAAAAAATTCACTAAAATAACCATAACTCCAGAAGAAAGATTCATGAAGATGAATTCTTTTCGATTTTCTTGTCAGAACACATCATATTTTATTAAACTAAGATGATGGAAAAAAAATTTAACAACAACGTATTTATGGTTCTTTTTTTGCTATCTAATGTATTCTGTACCAAGATTTCCTAGATGAATTATAATAATAGAGTTTCTCAAAATCAGGTCATAGAAGCTGTTTTTTTTCTTCTAACAACGTCATTTTAAGAAGAACAAAATGATGAGTCACTGCATTTTCTACAATCTTCTCTTAAAAAGATAAAAATAATACAAAAACTAAAGCGATACCTCATTTTGTTTAGCATGTTGAAAAAAATACTGTATCCAATTTTTTTAGAAATCTTATTATAGAAAACTCTATTGTCTATTAAAATTACTATTTGGATTTCAGCTGATTTCTTAACATTATACAATAAAAAAAAAAATATACATTGTTGTTACACTTTTTTCTCACTAGTTAATAACAGAACCAACCTTGTTCAATATTAAATGTTTTTCCTAATATACAACTTTCACTATTCAATCCAGCTTTTAATAAACATTCATCAAGTACAGCTGAACCAAAAGCTAAAATTTAAATAAAATAAAAATAAACTTTCGAAGAAAAAAAAAACAAAACAATAATCATACGTAAAAGAGGATTAAGAATTTTTTTAATTGATTCATTTGGTTGTGCATTGTTTAATAGTTCAATTAATCTATTAATGAAAAACAAAATAATAATAATTTTTAATCTAAAACAAACTTTTCAAGTGAAATAAGATCTTCAGGTTGTTTAACACTATCGACAGCATATATTTCATGAACAGCAAATTTTTCATCTGTTGTTACATCTGTTCTTTTACGAATTAATGATAATATTATATAATTAAAATCTGTTAAAATAATATTTCCCTATTGAAATAAATTTTTAAATAATAATTCAAATGAAAAAAAAAAAAAAACAAATCTCCAATACTTTATCATAAAGTTCAACAATAAGATGATAAGCAGCTTCACCACTACCAAATTGTAAATCAATAATACGATCAATACCTAATTGTTCAATAGATTCTAATCGACGTGATTTAAGATGTTTTCGAAGCTAAATTAAATTTTTATTTGAAAAGAAAAAAGTTTTTCATTTCTTTTTTTTTTTACTTTCATAGCAAAACCAGATGGAATTAATCCTTTTGGCCAGTCAAATTCCGTTGTATGTATACGTATACCTGATTCAATAAGTAATACTCCTTTATCATCCGGTCTAGATAATCAAAAACTATATTTACAATAAAAATATTAGAAATTTTTACTTTGAAAATTTAATCAAATAAGTTTTATTATCAACATCATAAACATTAACCACTCGAATGCCGAGAAAGCTACATATAAAAATCAACGACTTTTAAAAAAAACCAAAAATCATATTAAATATCAATACCGTTTCCGAACTGCTGCAATAGACGCTTTTAGATCAAGAGTTGTAAATCGAGTCTTTTTAGCTGGCATATATGCGATGATTGAAATAATTTTTGTAATTGAAATTTATTTCAACATTATTATTTTATATATTAGTCATAGAGAATGTTATTCGTTTGCTAAATACATCAACCAATAGCATTTTTAATCATCTAGCGCCATCAAATGAAAATATTTTTAGAAATGATGGGCTATGTCATATCGAACGATGTTGAATAGATAAGTTTTCCAAGGTATTTGAGTTTTTTTTGACATCCAAAAAAAAACACAAATTAAGATAGAATATAAAATAAAAGTAGTGTGTCATACTTGACCTTCTCTTACAGCGGTTCCCAAAATATATTCGACATGGTTTATTTTCAATTTTCTTTATTCAACTATCGCAAACGCTAATAACAATCTAAATAGTGATTCGTGTATAGAGAATTTTATTTCCAACAAGAATTTTTCATGAGCAGAATTTCGTTTGAATTACTGAGAGAAATGTTTTCTAATCTGAAATAACCGAAAAACAACCGACTTTTGTGCCTTTCGTAAGATTGATTTATCTCAATTGTTTCACTTTGTAAAGAACTGTTTGCTCTAATATTCTGGATAATTCAAACAGAATTCTAGGAAATGAAAAAAATAACGTGTGTTTCAATTATTGAAAAACTCTATTCATTGGAAAACTAGCAATCATTGTCATCTTCGAAAATTCTCTATCCCAAATCGCTATTCGAATTGTTAGTAACGTTTACAGCAATGAAAAAAAAATTAAAAGTAAAAACTGTACAATTCTATTTAAACTTCCAATTAACTTGTTTAAATTTTCTATATCTTGAAGACTTAATTCAAAATTTCGGAAAATACAGCGAATACTCACGAAAAAAGATGCTGGGCCACCTCAAAAACAGGCCATAAACATATTTGGGGGGCATGTTCCTTCGTAAGTTTTTTTTTTCTTTCTTCTTCTGTCATAGGCTATACTAAATTCTATTTATAATCGAGAAAATTATTTTCAAAGTTACTATTCATTATAAATAATGGGTTTCCAATAAATTCTATGCTTCAATAAAAATTAGTTTATATGTAAAGAAAGTAGGACTTACATCCAACTATATCTATATGAATTTCGAGTAATTAGAACGATGTTTTAAATGATATTATCTCTTTGAATAATAGTGTTATAAATTGAAGAAACGTGATGACTAAAATCTCGAAATCGATCAGTATGTTTTTTTGTGTAAGAAGTTTTAATGAATTATGAATTCATCGTATGTAACATAACACAAGTATACAAAATATCACATAGTACTTAGAGTGTGGGTGTGGCTATCTTCTACGCATATTCTATTTATCACGTTTCTTCTGTTTTTATCAGTACTATTAAAAGAGATAATGTTATTGGATAATATACCATTTGAAACGTCGTCCTAACTAATTAAAACTCATCTAGATATACATTCGGTAGGGATCACTCTTTATAATGACATACAAATTGTTTTTCTTGGAAGTAATAAAATTTCTCACTAATATTTTTTTTTCGTTTAATAGGTTGGAATATATCAATGGTAATTACTCAAATCGATACGGAATCCGTGAATAACACATTCTTATTTTATATTCATAATCACGCACAAGATGTGATAAAAAAAAAACATATCTCTATTTACGTGTTAATGACCAACTAATTATTTAGCAATATAATTATGAACATCTGTATATTTGTCTTTTTTTCATATATGATATTATTGAAATCATTTTTACATAAAATAATATTCAGAATCAAACTAATATCAATATATCATACACGAGCGACACTGCAATAAAATATTATTTGGAGGCAAGTTTTTTTTTTCTTTTTAAAAAACCAAGTAAGTCATGACGTTATCAATAACTATAAGAAAGTAAGTATTTATCTTTCAAGACACTATTTAAAAGTACTTGGTATGAAGGGCACGTATTGGATTTGTTCTTTTTATCATTTTGTTTTTATTTGCAAAGGCTTTATTGTACTTTGGACTTATTGTAGGTTTTTTTTTTTCCTTTTTGAGATTTCTATTTCGACGAACATCCTAATACAACAACAATGTCTACTGTTCCAACAAAAAAACAACCGTTCAAAGTAGCTGATTTAAGTTTAGCTGAATGGGGTCGAAAAGAAATCACATTAGCCGAATATGAAATGCCCGGTTTAATGCAATTACGTCATACATATGGTTCAACACAACCATTAAAAGGTGCACGTATTGCTGGGTGTCTTCATATGACTGTTCAAACAGCTGTACTCATTGAAACATTAATTGCATTAGGAGCTGAAGTATAGATTTAGTGTATTTTTTTTGTTTTTACATAAATAATTTTATTATTTAATAAATAGGTTCAATGGAGTAGTTGTAATATTTTTTCAACACAAGATCATGCTGCAGCTGCTATTGCTAAAACTGGTATACCTGTTTATGCTTGGAAAGGTGAAACTGATGAAGAATATATTTGGTGTATTGAACAAGTAAAAATTTACTTTTTTTTGTTTTGTTTTAAGAAGGAAAAAATTATTTTTAGACAATTTATTTTGGTGATGATAATAAACCATTAAATATGATTTTGGATGATGGTGGTGATTTAACTGGTATTGTTCATGATAAATATCCTGAATTAACATCTGGTATTTATGGTATAAGTGAAGAAACAACAACAGGTGTACATGGACTTTATAAAATGCTTAAACAAGGAAAACTTACAATACCAGCTATTAATGTTAATGATTCAGTAACAAAATCAAAATTTGATAATTTATATGGTTGTCGTGAATCACTTATTGATGGAATAAAACGTGCAACGGATATAATGATTGCTGGTAAAGTTGCTGTTGTTGCTGGTTATGGTGATGTTGGTAAAGGTAGTGCACGAGCTTTACGAAATTTTGGTGCTCGTGTTCTTATTACAGAAATTGATCCTATTAATGCTTTACAAGCAGCTATGGAAGGTAAAGAATTTTTTCAAAAATGAAGAGTAAAATGATTTTTTGTTTTTGCTCTATCGATTTCAATTAACAAATGTAATGCTTTTCTTATTTGAGACTAGATTTATTTATTTATTTATTTAATGGAAACTTTGAGATTGATTTTGAGAATATTTTACTCAATTCATCGACTAGACAACTTCGTTAGATGATAAGTCTTTATTTTTATTTCAAATAATAATTTTCCGAAGAAGAAGATTTATCAAAATGACTTTTGATAAACTTTAATATATAAAATTATTTCAGGTTATGAAGTAACTACAATGGAAGAAGCATCCAAAATAGGACGTATTTTTGTCACAGCAACTGGATGTCGAGATATTATTTTATCTCAACATATGCTTCAAATGCCTGATAATGCTATTATTTGTAATATTGGTCATTTTGATATTGAAATTGATGTTGCTTGGTTAAATAAAAATGCAGTTTCGAAAGAAATAATCAAACCACAAGTAAATCGACCGAAACAAAAAAAAACAGAATTGAATTTGTTTAAATTATATAAAAATATTTAAAGGTTGATCGATATCAATTACCAAATGGACGTTCAATTATTTTACTTGCCGAAGGTCGACTTGTTAATCTTGGTAAAAATTAAGAATTTAACAATTAATATGTAATTTTCTTTTTCTATTATAGGTTGTGCTCATGGTCATCCAAGTTTTGTTATGAGTAATTCATTTTCAAATCAAGTCTTAGCACAAATTGAATTATTTACTAAAAAAGGTCATTATGCTATCGGTGTTTATGTATTACCTAAGAAGGTAAAAATTAGACTTTTGTTTTTTTTTTTTCTATGAATTTTTTTGTTTTAATTTCTAGCTCGATGAAGAAGTTGCCGCTGCTCATCTTCATCATTTAGGTGTTCGTTTAAGTAAAATGACTACTGAACAAGCAAATTATTTGGATTTAAATGCATCTGGTCCATTTAAACCCGAACATTATCGTTATTAAATTGTAAAAAGAATAAGAACATTCCATTGAAGCTTTTCTCCATTTAGTTTAATAACGGTTTATGATTATGTTTGTGTCACAATAAAAAAAAAACAGGAAATATGGAGATAATTATAATAAAATCCATGAGAATATATAAATGATTTATATTTTTTATCAATTTAAGTGAAAATTAAAATCATTTCATTGAATAAGATTTTTAATATTTAATCGGTTTTTTTATAAAATTATTCGCATAAAAGTTATGATTATTCAAGAATGAGTAGATCTTAATCTGAGATGTTCACTTTCAAAAATCTTCTTCCTTGTTGCATATGTATATGTATTTTAACGAATATGATACGGTGCCTGTTTTACTCAAAGCATCACCAACAATTGTCTTATTAAGGGCCTCCTTTCAAAAATCGATCTCAGCCCAGGAACATCTAAGTGCTATGAAACTTCGAGAATATGTTGGGACTGTAAAAGGGTGTCTATGGTAAGATTTTCAGCCTCCTATCCTGATGAATAAGGGAGATATGAACCAAACAAGAGTCGAAAAATAGCTTATCGCGTCTTCATAAAAATTCTCTGTAAGTGTTCATTCAATATGCTTGATTGCTTTTTTTGTTTGAAAGAGCATGTCAGGATGTAGTACCTATGAGCGCCATATCTTTGTTTACTCTTATCTTTCTGGCGAAAAAAAGACCTGACAAGTTCAATCACTGAGAAACCTCTAAAAAAAAAATGACGCTCATATTATAAAATTGCTTATCAATATAATAATAACAAAGCTTTATCAAAAAAAAGGCTCTCATAGGAACTGCAGTTTTTAATGCTCTTTTAAACAAAAAAATAAATATTTGACTTTATATCGGATTATAGTTGACTTTCGCTGGAGACGCGTCGTTCGAGCACCATTTTGAGAAACAACGAAAAAGATGTTTGAGTTTTTCGAATAGAGGCAATTAAAAACTTTGAAAATTTATCGGAAAAAAGAAAGTATCGATGAAAATTTTTTTAAGGAAGGCCTCCTTAAACAAAATCTCTTCGAGGCTAACATACATTTATTTTCTAAGCTTTTAGAATTCTCTTACATTTAATTAACTGCCGACATTATTCAATAATGTTCGTTTTTTTTTAAATTTCCAGGAAACTCCAAACCGTATCTTTTACCACCAAGTACATAGAATTAACATTTTCTTCTGACTAACGAGGAGGAAAGAGTTTGTGCCCATGACGTACTTCGAAGGAGATCTTATTGCCATATAGATATAAGAAAGTAGGAGTTTTTTGCTTTTTTCTAAAGTTTACTCCGAGAAGATGAGGACTAAAATTTGAAACATAGAATTTTCATTTGATACTACGAGGTCGTCTTATAATCAGCCAAAAAACGTGGGTACGGGTGCGTTTGTGTCTTCTTTTTACCTGCTATTATTCAATGTGGAATACACACTTTTTTTATCTACAACTTGCTGGACGTGTCAGAGAAACGGTAGATGCAGATCGTTTTGATGGTGTTATGTCGATAAGTTGCTAGAAAAAAGAAAGACAAATTTGCAAAATTCCAGGCAGATAAGCAAACAGGAAAAATGGTGTTTAACCCTTTCGTAGTGATGTGGACCACAATATATTTTAAAGTTAACCGGTGACCCAGAATAAATGGCCTCACTTTGCATTTCATATTTTAATCTATAAATACGTTTTATTAAAAAAACGGCATATATCATAAGATGTATTTAGAGATTAAAATATGAGATACGAAGTGTGACCATTTATCCTGAGTCACTCGTCACCTTCTATGAAAATCGAATCGCCACAGAAAGGTTAAACATTGAGGATATTCGTGTTTATGAATGTTGATAACAGTTAGACCATGGAAAAAATATTTCCTTATTTCATCAGCCTAACGGAAACTCGACAGCCACATTGAACATGAGCAGAATCTAAGAGAGAAACAACTGACTTTTATGATTTTAAAGTCATAAAGTCAGTTGTTTCTCCCTTGTGAGAACTATTCATCGAATGACAAAAATGATTCTCCGGTACCGAAACATTTTCTTATAATTTATGCGGCAATACTGACGCGTTGCTCATCGCAATCCATCAGTTTGAACACAGGTTTTCGGACACGTCGTTCTTCGAGTTTCGTCGTCAACAATCTGAAATGTGCGATTTACACACCATTAAATTCACGTTCGCATTCATCATCAAAATTGAAGTTCGACAGCATTGAAACCAACATATCGTTCGCTCATCTGACCTCGGCTATGATTACTGATATGCTCGATTCAAAAGACGTCGGAATTCAGCACACACTCAATTGCACTATCTCCATATGTCAATGTGGGAATGAATATGGTAAAAACTAGACCCACATCTACACCCTAGATATAATAATACTTTCGAACGTATATGTTTTGCACTGAATATTGCAATCTTACTGATTCGCATTAAACAATAATCTTTTCATAAAACTTTTTCTAAACGATTAATTTTTTTTTTTGCTAAATATGAATATATTCATCTATGATTAAAGCGTTTTCTGAAGATAAAATAAATCATTTCCTATGATTTATTTGTTCTAATACCAGCGGCAGACATTCAATCAAATTGATATCATTTTGATAACATATACTACTCAAACATACAGATGCATTAATATTCTGCTTCTAAATTTTATCGTGTAAATTTATAAAATAGTCACTATATACTCTCTCTATTACACTGCGACGAAAAATCAAATTATATTACTAAGCAGAGTTTGTGAATTTCACATGTACTGATGAGTTTTTTTAGCTAATTTCTATTCAAAAGCCATTTTTGAATCTTTCATTAGAGATTAGTGTACCCCTGCTAAAAAAAAACATCGTAGAGAATTCGAAAGTATCGTATTTTGCATTCTAGTTTGTGAAAATTTAGATTAAGATTTGTCTGAAAATCTTGTTCTTGTGAATTTGTTAATCGTTTTTTCTTTTCATATTTTCTTGTTATAAATAATCTTGTTGAATAATTCCAGTAGCCATTGTTTATTAAAAACGTTTGGTATACATATATTTCATATAGAATAAGTTAAAACAATAGAGATTTGTTTCGTACAATTTTCAATGAACATACTAAAAACAAGAAATAGACTATTTCAATGATCTCCTCATTAGACTTAATTAAGTTTGAATGTTAATGATTAGATTTGTAATAGGAATTTTTCTACTGCTCATTTTCTTATTACAATATTGTTAGAAAAGAGAAAGAAGAATTAAATCTTGATACAACCAACACTATTCTATATGATGATAAACAAAACAAGAATCTAATACAAATAAAATGATAACTTACTTCCGATTGTATTGTTAAGCGTGTACACACTTTCTCATTCATTGATTTCCGATTTCTAATAAAAAATTTAAAAAAAAATTTGATAGTAATTACAAACAATCATGTATCAATACAATAGAACATTCTCATTTTTCTATATTTAATGTAACAAAGAAGTAAACGATGAAATATTATGTCTTCAAATATTATTTTTTATTGTTCTTTTCTAATTGGTTATATGAATAAAAGAAATTATTCTTCTGTACATGTCAATATTGACAATTTATTTGAATGTTTGTAATTGAATCATTAATTTTAAAATTGAATAACTATATAATTATTATTACCAAAATAAAAACAGTAACTTTGATATAGTTACGTGGCAAAGATTTCGCAAAATACACACATTGTACAATTTAATTCTGCTTAATTTATTCTTTGAAAATGTACGAATCATTTTCATGAGACATAAGTACTTAGAAACAACTTACAATTTATTGAACAAGTATTGATTCTTTTATTTATCCAACTAGTAGATTATCGATTATTCAGATTAATAGACTTTTTGAAAAGCTAAAGAAGTTATAAAATGAATTCGATTTCTTATTAAACGATTGACAAATTTCAAATGTACTCATATTTGTTTAACTAATATAAAAAGTCTAATGAGTTTTTTTTTTCAACTTATTATTATATGACATCAATCGATGACATGAGTACAATGATTTTATAAATTCCATAGATGACATTTTGATCTATTGTAGACACAAAAACGATAAAAAAAGAATATTTCACTCACGGTAACAAAACGAACCTAGTAACCTAGATTAAACAAACAAAAAAAAACTAATGGTTAACCAAACAAACATTGCAGTGTAGATACATAGTAAAGAAAGAAAGAAAAGAATGACAAAAAAAAATAGCAAAATAAGCATGTGGATGAGAATAATGTAATGAAATACAAAATATAAAATCATCGATTTTTTTTTTACAGTTCAATAAAAATTCGAATATAATTACTTTGAGAGTAAACATCATGATTTCAAAACCTTGTCTATTGTCTTAATATAAAAACATTTGTATATACTTATTGGAAAATATATAGACATTTATTTGAATTCAATTAAAAAACGTCTATAACGATTAAATCATGTATTCTAATAACTAACAAATGTTTTTACATGAAACTTGTTTGCTTCTCATTTTATGTAAAAAAAAAAACAAAAACTAGTATTAAAAATTCATTACATTTATGTATCATTAAATTTTGAAAAGGATAGCAATTTGAATATAATAGTTCCTGAGAAAAACAAAACAAAATAGATTACTGAAACACATGTAATGAACGACGAAAAAATCAAATATTTAGAAAATAAATTAATAGTTTACGAAAATAAAGTACATGTTTTATACTTAGATATTCGTTTTATTCATGTCTCCAAAAAAGAAAAAAAAAAAAAGAAAATGTAAAAATAAGATTATTTTCTTTTATTTTCTGTTCTATACATTTATTAAGTAACACAACTTTATATAGTTCAAATCGTTCTTTATTCAATTTCAATGTATCGCCTACATTTTAAGACAAAATAGAAATGGCATTAATGAAGAGAATGCACGTGAAACATTGAAGTGTATGACAACAAACACAATGACAATGCTGTGCGTTCCAATGATTTACAATCGATTTTTACCTTAAATGACTTCACGTACTATAAAAGAACAACGTCTTTTTCCTTCACAAGTTTCTAAAAAACCTTTCACTACATTTCGTCCACCAAAAAAGTCACGTACGAATGCATCATCATCATTTTCAACAGATCCATTGGGAAATACCATTATAACACGTACAGAAGCTACACCAAAGACACGTATTGTTGTAGTTCGTTCATCAAGTCGTACACAAAATGAACAAGGAGAAACAAATGAATTAGAACAACCAAATTCAGTCCAATTTCCACCAGTACTAACTAATGGAGTAAGTATTTTAATCATAAATTCATATATTTCTCATATTTAGAAAAAAAACAAAATTCTAGCTTACATCTGTTTATCTTATTCGACGGCCTATTCCACCATCTGAATCATCAATACAAACAAAAATCTATCAACCAACAGATGATGAACCACCAATAATAACTACTACTGATAATACACTTACGAATACAGAAAATACTGAAACTTCACCTGGTCAAGTTTTTTCACTTGTAATACGTACTCAAGAAGAGCCACCTGTGGATACAAATAATGAAATTCCTACAGTTCATTCTCCTAACAGTGAAAAACATCTTACATCTTCACCTACACAGTCTGGTAATATTTCTCAAAAAATAACACGTCAATCAAGATCAAAATCTCAAAGACGAAATTTAGCTCGTTCACGTTCTAAAAGTCGATCAACTTCAAGACGTCGTCCACGTCGTATACCTTCAAAATCTCGTTTACCATCGTCATTATCTTCCGGACAAGAAGAACCTAAAAGTAATCATAAAAATATCTATTATTATCTTTTATAGATACTGAGTGAAAACGAAATTTTTCATTTTTCACTACAGCTAATTTAACAGTTGAAAATGAACAACAAACAGTTCAAAATATTCGTCAACCAATAACAAGAAATTCTCAACGAAAAACAATATTTTCACCACGAATTAAATCTTCGAAATCAATTGTACTTGTTAATCCAGAAGATCAGACTATTGCTGTTGTAGAAAATCCATATTTGAAAGGAGAATCAATTACACAAATTATAAAACGTCCAATACCTATGAAGAACAATCGATTTCTAGAGGTAAGTCTATGTAGAAAATAAACAACAAAAGGTATTTATTTATTATTATAGAATGAAGAATTAACAGAAGTGTCAAAAAAAGAATACCGCAAAGGGAATACATGTCTTGATTGTCTATCAAGATGTATATGTTTAATTATAATTATTTGTGTTATTCTTGCTCTAATCGGTTTAGCTGGTGTTGGTGTCAGTGCTTATTTTCTTGCCACTGGTAAGTCTATTTACTATCTAGTAGACTTATAAAAAAAAGAATTTCTTTTTTAAAGATTCTCAAACAGATTTTATTCCGAAAATTGTTGGTATAGTTGTCGGTGCTGTATTAGCTATAATTGCTTTAACTTTCTTATGTTGTGTACTTGCATGTATTGGTTCACGTGATGGATATTTTTCATATAATGATGATAGTTCACATACTGGTGGTAGAGTTTTTGCAGTAATACCATCTACACATCCGAATGCTCATCTTTATACTCCTCGTGATAATATAGAAACGTATAAAAATAATCAAACATCAATATTAAATTCAACTATTCAACAACAAACAATTAATCGACAAAAAACAATAATAAATGATGTAAATACTACAACAACAAATACAAAAAATATTATAATTCAAATGCCTGAACGTCTTTTAACAGCAAGAAAAACTTCACCAAAATCACAAGAACGTAAAATAAATCAAGTAGTAAATGATATTGGACGTATTGTTCAAGATGCTAAAAAACGATATAATGGTGATATATCAAATAAAGTTATTGTTAAAGTCGATGAAAATGTTAAACCATTACCTACGTAAAATTTCGTTTAATTCTCTCTCTCTTTTTTTGTCTTTCTTGTTTTAAAAAGATTATTAAAAGTATCAATTATTCAATTTTTTATTCAAAAATTATTTCAATAGTATGAAGACAAAATAATAGAACGAACACAATCAAAAAAGGAAAACAACATCTGTTCGATAAGAATCGATTGATAGTGAAATAATTGACTGAAATGGGCTTTGTTGTTTTAACAAAGACAGAATCCGATCGGATCCAAATTCGAGTTTTTCTACCAATATCTGCCACTCTCTGTGTACATGAACAAGTGAAGAACCAAAGTTGGCTATTCTCAGAAAAAAATTGTTCACTTCCGTTTCTGCTCGATGCTTAAAAACAAAAGGAAATAGAACAGTTAATTGATAAATAAAATTGGTCAAACTAACAGTAACATCAAAAAATCTTCAATTGTATAGAATAATTCTATAAAATCAATGTATGGGAAACAACAAGTCTAAGTTTTTGTGAAACCGAACTTGCAACTCTCTATTAATGATTAATACTCATAGATTCTAATGATCATTTGATATATTATTATAAGAATAAAGTCATGAATTTTTATTTTTAATAAATTACCTTGATAAAAATAATTATAGAATAAATTTATTTCATTGTTTATACATTGTAAATTTAATGATCAGTTATGCTTTATTTCCGTTTCGTTTATTTGAATTAGAGGGTAAGTCTATTTATATCATTTCTTGGTTTAAAATTGAATGTTGATCACTTATTCATCTGTTTTCTTTTTTTTTTTATTTGTATTGTTAATTCGTTTCGGTAAATGACACATATATGGATTTATCATATAGAGAAAATAGAAGAGAATGAATGAATGAGGGGTGATAGACAAGTACTCAAGTGAGCGTAATCGAGCGGCAGATTCGTTTGTTGATCTTTAGGGGTGTATGTGTGTCGGTTAGCCAGAGGGCTCACTGGCAAGATGGCCAAGTGTGTCACAGCAGTCTCTAATTGAATTCGATTTGTCTTCTTCTATCAAACTTATGTACAACTATTTCTTTTTTATAGTTTTTTTTTGTCACTCATTTACATACACATACTTTTACTTTTATTCACAAATGAGACCAATTAGAGCAAAAGAAAAGGTTCATTGTATTTATATGTTAAAAGACACGCTCGATGAGCACAACCGCTATTATTTGTCTATTTCTATTTGAATTCTATATATATATATATATATATATACACATATTGTATTATGATGAGAGCTAGACATAGTAGGAAATTTTCTTTTAATGCACGTGAGTGTGTTTGTCTACTATTTTTTTTTTCTATGCGATAAATGAGAAAAGAAGATGTTTCTAATCACATGCTGTCACAGTATTCCGGATTCCGCCTGCTTGATTATAATAGGTGTTCAAATGAATAAATGATGGCTATGTGCGTCTGTTCTCTTTCCATTAAAAACTAACGTAATATTGTCATTGCTCACAAGTAAAAAAAAAAACACAACTTCTCATCTACCTTCTTCTTCTTCTTCTTCTTCTTCGATTAATATCTTGCCGATAGGGTACATGTCGGCGCATGTATACATTAAACGTTCTCTATCTCAATTTGTTTTTTTTTAATCTCTAACTTAGACAATCATTTTATGAGCACAATCTGTTTTGATTCCGATCGGAAATGATATAGATATCGAATTTATTCATCTTTTTTCTCTTCTACTATTTAACAAAAGCAAAAGTCTAGTGTGTAAATCATCGTTTCTAATCTGTCACAATCATCATACTATTGACACACATATATATACATCATGTGTCTAAAATTGCTGAGAAACGAGTCATCTGGACTAGAAATAAGAAAAAAGAAGAAAAAGAAAAAGGGAAATGAACTTTATGCGACTTTGTGTCGTCAATTAAATATAGACAAAATGAAGAGTATGTTAAAATTACCAGCATTTCACTCTCCTGCTGTGTCGGAAAATGATCAACCGTTATTATACTGATGTAATATATAATACAGCTGCTCAAAAGTTTATATTATTTCTTTAAGACACGCTGGACGGCAAAAGATAAAAGTATCTCACTTGAAAAAACCACAGGACTACTAGTTTCTTTGTTTTTTTTCAGAATTTCTTTTTTTTCCCCCGTTTTTCTTTCTCTCTCTCTCTCTCTAACTTTGCCTAGCAGCCAAATGCTGATTGATGTTGCGCCCTGTTGAACGTGAAATGAAGCGAGACAGTTGGAGTTTGTTTCTTTTCTTTGTTGCAATGACAAAACACAATAAAGAAAGAGAGAGAGAGAGAGAGAGAAAAAAAAAGTGATCGATTTGTCTGCATCGATAACGCTTCAATGTACATATACACAATCTTTTCTGATCAGGTTTCGTTCTATTCGAAATTCGAGTAGTTAAGTTGTTCTTAGATTTGTATAAACAAATGCGAAGAGAAGAAGTAGTAGTAGAAGAAGAAGAAGAAGAAGAAGAAGAAAAAAAAAATATTCACCAATCCCGACAATTTTTTTTCTTTTATATTTGTTTTAGAAAAAAAAAAATGTGAAGAAGAAGAAGAAGAAAAAAAATTTGAAGATACATTTTTTTTTTATTGTTTTAAAGTTCAAAAATTATTGTATTTTACCAGGTAAAATAGCTTGTGGTCGATGAATTTTTTCTGTTTGCATACCAAAATGATAATGATTTGCTGAATTATTTGATGAAGCTGATGATGATGATGGAGATGAAACACTCGGTGGTGATGATGATGATGTTGCAGCAGCAGCTGCAGCTAAACTAGCTGATAACATACTACTATAAGGATAATGTGTTGAAAAAGCTGCTGCATATGCAAGTGGATTATAAGCAAGTGCTGCTGTTGAAAATTCACTTAATTTTCCAGTTGAATATGGATAAAGTGATGTTGGAGGCGGTGGTGGTGGTAATAATGAACGACATTTTTCAAGATTTAATGCAAATGAATCATTTATTTGTTGTTGAACAGACATTGTATCAGTTGTTGATAAATCAATTGTATCTTTATTCGTTAGTATATGATGAGGATGATGATGATGATGATGAGAATGATGAGATGAAGGAGGAAATGTCGGAAATGGAAATGGAAAACGATCTTTTTTTATTAAAGATTTCGGTTTACGACGAGGACGATATTTATAATCTGGATGTTCTTTCATATGTAATGCACGTAAACGTTTAGCTTCGTCAATAAATGGTCTTTTTTGTTCATCATTTAATAATTTCCAATCAATACCTAAACGACGACTTATTTCACTATTATGCATTTTAGGATTTTCTTGTGCCATTTTTCGACGTTGTCCACGAGACCATACCATAAACGCATTCATAGGTCGTTTTATATGTTCAGATGACATAGGAGTATTAGAATTTGATGATGAAGAAGATTTATTAATTAAATGAGGATGTTGAATATTGAATAGATGAGCTTTAAAATAAATAATATTAGTTTTTAAATTTTATCAATTTCCAAAAAAGAATACTTACACATCATGCTTGAATAATGATGATAATAAATGAGTCAATCGGAGTTTTTCTTTTTCTTTTTTCTTTTAAGAAATAAAAATAAAAGCACAGTAAAAGAAACACACAAGATTCTTTTTTTCTTGTCATATACAATAAAAGGAACAGGTTCTCTTTTTCTCTATTCGATGAAAGCCTATTATATTATTCGACGAGCGAGAAAAAAAAGAGAGCAATGAAAATAGTTTTTCTCTCTCTCTCTCTCTCTCTCTCTCTTTATGTATATACAAAGCGAAACATAATGACTTGAACTATGTGCACAGCACACTAATAAAAGAAGGAAAAGAAGAAGAAGAGGAGGAGGAGAGGAGGCCTTTTCTTGTCGTTCTCGTCGCCGCTCAAAAAGTGTTATTCAAATAGAGACAGCCAAGTGGAAGAGCGAACGAGCGAGCAATAATAATAATAATAGTAATAATAATAACAACAACAACAGCTACCATCTATTTCTCTTCCCTCCAATGGAAATTAAAGAATACAAAACGAACAAGAGAGAAAGCGCAAGAAAATTAAAAATCGTCATTGGCCATTCATTGCGCTTCTTTTCGCTTTTTTTTCTTTTCTTTTCTTTTATATTCTATTCTATTCTGTTGCTTGCTCGGAAGCGAGAAAGAGTGGCGGCGCCCAACAACAAAGCGATTACAATATGTGTCTATTGGTCTTTGAATAAAAAGAAGAAAAAAAAAGAAAAGAAAAGAAAAGAGGGAAAGAACAATTCAAGCTGTATGTAATAATGAAGGCTTGCATCAATCGTGCTCTCTCAAATGGTACATAAGAAAAAGAAAAATAAAGGCGAGAGTAAAGAGAAATATTGTTAATCGAATGCATATATATATATACATATACATATATATATATACAGTGATCGTTAGCTTGTTTCGATTACCTGAATAAAATGTGTAAAATGGGACAATAAAAAGAGTAAAGAAACGATGAAAATGAATCCAAATGAATTAAATTCTCAATTTATTCATCTCATCAAGAGCGGCTTCTTTCCAATCAGTATTTTCTTTTCCTATATAAGAACTTAAAGTCTATGAATAGTTCTCATCCTATTAATCCTCTCTCATCCATCGATTACAATTGCGGTTTTTTTTCTTCGTTTGATGAATATTGTAAACGTTATTATTCTGATTACTCTCTTGTTTAGCTTGTTAACATTTTGTGAATATCCTTTTAAAATTATCTTTATTTATTTATTTTTTTTTTGTTGCTTGTGAAATGATATACACACACATATATAATATATATATATTAATTTCAATTGAAGTGACGATTGAACTTGCACATATATACACTTTTAATCTAACCAAAACTATCGGCTGCAAAGTACAATTCGTTGTCGAGTGGGGGGG